ATATCAAGAGAGAATGGAGGCGTACACTGAGTTGTACAATATATGTATATAAATAACTCCAGTCTTTACTGATACGGCACCAAAAATAAACATGGTTTAACAAAATTTGGATACAGAAGCGGGGAAAACAAAAAAAAGTCAACTTGAAGGAATAACTAATGTTTTGTTTGTTTACTGCACGTAGTGTTGAGCTTTTTGTCGCTTTTGTTTATTTTTGCACACAGGGGAAGATGCATCCACGACACTGACTTCGGTTAGATGCCATATCCCACAGTCTCTCCAGACAAAGACAATCGGAACCTTTGGGGCTCTAGCCGGGAAGCCCCAACGGAAGCCAGATCCGAGCACAGTCTCTTTAACCCTCTGCGCCACGTCAAGGCCTGTCCACCTCACTGTTTCTTCTAACTTGGACCGATTTCTGCGAATAGTGCACGGTGTGGCAGATGTTGCTCAGGCATTCGTAGGACGTACCATAGCCTAAGACAATGCTGTGAAATTATTTTGCTCAAAGGAAGACTGTCTGATCTTATTCACGCGATGCTCCCACCATACGCGGGCGATTTTACGCAGACAACGGCTGTCGAATACGCATAGTCTTTGGACGTGATCAGCTCGGAGAGGCCAGTTCTCGCAACCATAGAGCCATACTGTACGCACCGTTGCGCAATATACGCTCTTTCAAAGGGATATGTCGCGCGGACGCCGGAGATGCCACAGATTAGCAAACGCTAATCTAGCTTTGATCGTGCGTTGAGAGATCTCCTCGCCCACACATCCGCCAGCCGTTATGCAATTCCCAAGGTAGACAGCTTTCGACTACTTCCAGAGTGTCATTCAGCGAAACTGCAGAAATGGGTTCCTGTCAATCTTGCAACAACACTTCGCACTTTGAAGGTGCAAAGACAAAGCAAAGCGAGTAACCTCAGTTACCAAACTGTTAAACGACTCTTGAATTGTTGGTGCGTTGTCACCGAGTAAGGTAATATCATCGGCATGCTCTAAGTCTACGACTGTGTCCCCTGGAAGAAGTTCGACACCAGCGTTCGTTACGTTATGTAACGCGTTTTGTCGGACATCATCTATGGCAAAGTTGAATGGGAAACGGAGAGATAAGGCAACCCTGTCGTACCGCATTGGTGACAGAAAATGAGGGTGAAAGTTCACCATAGGCCCGAACCTTCCCGGAGGTCTGGTGATGGAGCGCTTTTAGGAGTGAAACATACTTCTCAGGTACTCCGTATCTCCGCGAACAGTTCCATTGGAATCAAACTTGTATCCCTGCGGTTGGAACAAGCATTGCGGCAGCCCTTCTTGTAAATGGGTGTGACAGTCGATTCCCCCCATGTGTGAGGTACACTTTCAGTTTCCCAGATCTTAGAGAACAGTCTCACGAGGGCTTCTCTACCATCTTTAAAGAGGGCAAGTAGTAGGCCGTCTGATGCAACTGCCTTGTGGCGTTTCAGGGCTTAGGTTTCCTTTCGGATTTCCGCTTCTGTGGGCGGTCCCATGAATAGTGACCGGGGGGGCACTCAAGAGAATTGCTTGGGGCAGCCAGCGCGGGGGGCTGGTTAAACTGCGATACGAAGTGCTCTGCCCAGCGTTCCGAGTGTCGGTGAAAACTGTTTATTAGCGTGCCGTCTACTTCGCAGATTGTTTCACTAACACACTGTCTTTTGGGGCCTGTAGCACGGATGAGCTGGAATAGTTGCCGGGTGTTTCCACACCTAGTCACAGGTTCCATCTCCTTTGCACGTAGCGTCCACCAGGCCTCTCGGTCGTCTCTCAAACTCTTTTGAGTTCAGGCTTCAGAGAGAGTCGCTGTTCATTATATTCGTGGTCTGCCGGGATTGCCCGACGCGCGTCGAGGAGTCTGAGAGAGTTGGAGGAGACCCAGTGATTTAAAACTCGGTGGGTTAGGCCACAACTGTGTAAACCGGCTGAGTGCATTGCGTTTTGAATGGTTGTCCGGTGTTGATTTACGCTTCTTGCTGGGGCAGTAGTTAGCCTTGCGGTTAACTCGTTTTGATAATCGACTAGTAGGACGGGGTCAGAGAGCTTGGAGACATCAAGCTGTTTGCATCGCATTGCGGCCACCAAATTGCACAGACTACTTGACACAAACCAGTGCGTGGTCGGAGTCCAAGCAGGTAGACCAATACGAACGGCAGTCTTTCGCACACCCTCTCCATCTATAGCTAATGGCTGTATGATCAATCTGACTCCACGTGTGGGCCGAAGAGGGGTTACGCCAGTGCGAATCCATTCGCACTGCTGATGAGACCCAACCAGGTCGAAACAGCTGTCCAGTGCTTTCGAGCTTTTCAGTTCACGCTTCATTTGCTGTATACACAACGAATTCCCATTAGAAATTTAATCAAATCCTCCATTACTCACATGAAATTTCGGATATGTTTGAATGCCTAAGTCCATTATTCCATGATTCAATTGTGGGCTTGGTACTACCAGGTTGTTCAGTCCTAGGCAGAGGGATTTGGGGATAATCCTACCTGATTGACGAGTTCATACACGTGTGAACTCGTCAGTCAGTCACCGGTTTTCGGATTTTGCCAACTATCCAGGGTGCCCAGATTACCCTTGAGCCAAGCACTTGCCAGTGAGCGTCACGGCTTCGTCATCATCAGTGCTTGTGATGATAACCTCGGCTGGTGATGGAACGTTTGCAAACAAATTGCCAAGCTCGGCAAACAGGCGAAATGGAATTCAGTTCCCCCTAGCTACGAGAACCACTTGTCAACAAAGTGTCTGAGGCGATGTCAAATAGATAAGATAAAACAGGCGAAATGGAATTCAGACTACTTGTGTTGTGAGGTCCTACCCATATTTGTGAGCCGAATGGTTGGTTGTGATACGCGGTTTCTCAGGACGGTCAAAAATTAACAAGACAGCGAATTATTGTATTGAAAAATGGCAACTACGGACTGTTCCATTCATTATCCTGTGTGCTGCTGAGACTTTCGATGACATGTTCCAAATGTGACGTCTTGTTAAATATACACCAACTTATCCATAACCTAACTATGGTTCATAATAAACGAATCTCCTCAAGCCAGCTCCAGTTTTTTGGAAGCATAATTCTTGAAGTTGTGCGCATGATTAGATTGTTTTTAGCGTGAAAAATTCGTCTTCTCTTTCTCTCCTAGCGAGCGTTTTCCTCAGTCGTACCAGTCTTCCATTGCGAATTTGTATACTATACATGAAGTTTGCTTTACTGCATTTTGCTGTGGGAAGGTTAAATATGTGTTACGGAGAAAGATGGTGCCTTTTGTCAAAATTTGAAAGGCCGGCAAAATTTACAGTGTTTGTGTATCGTATTTCATGACATTGACAGAGTTCTGTAAGCAGGTGTGCTTTCGTCTCAGTTAACAAAGCACGTACCGCCGTTGCGGAAGAAGACACAAAGAAGAAAAATACATACAAATGCGGAAAAAGACCATTCAGCAAACGTTTTTATCCAACGTTCAACAAACACTTAGTTTTCATCATTGGAGACAGGATAATCTATGAATGTTTCCATCCTGGCAGGAATGAGTGAAAAACGACCTAGCTGAAGGATGAGAAGAAAGGAGAGATAAATCACAAAGTAATCACAAAATCCAGTCAATAATGTTCATGGGGAGGGGCG